TACATGGCAGATTGGGCTGTTCATTTGCAACTTAGGCTCATTTCCGCGGCCTGTCCCCGAAGTTCTGGTTGAGGTTTTTCGTGCAGGCCGAGAGTCCATCAGGTGGAATTGATACCAGAGCAAATAGTAGATGAAATCCGAGCTGGCATGCTAGTCATCCTCAGCTATAGCCCCGGGAGCTCGCAGTTAACTGGTGCACTCTTCTTAGCAGAGAGGTGTTTAATGGTTGATTAGCAGTCTCCGGGAGCTGCCTCGTGCACCAAAGGCACTGTCCTCTCCATTTTTATGCCTCTCTGAAAAATCAATTAGCACAATTACAGGGCCTAAGTTCCATTAAACATTAATCACAAAGTGTCACGCTATGGGTTAGCAGCTAACATTAATTGATGGCTGACATCACTTTGAGGCAGCGGCGATACTATCTCAGCTTTACAGTGTACGCGGGCTCATCAGACAGCATTGCACTGATGATGCAGAAAATCAGACATGTCATTCTCAGGGGATCAAACAGTGAGGAGATTGCTGTCGTCTCCAGTTCAGATCAACACATTCGCACCATGGTACTTGATGTCAGCCGCTGTCTTTGTAAATGACTAAGGTCTTACAACTTCATAGAGGTGGATTTAGTTAAGATGTGGAACTGGATCTTTGATCATGGAATGACTTTTTGATCTTGACACCTTTTTGAGTAATGCAGCTTCATACTGTTTTGGTACCGAACAAAATGTATTTCGTTATTTTATTATTTTAACTTCAAAATTAAATTTTTTTTCCATCAGTTCAGTTTGGCAGGTGGCTCTAAAAACTACAATACCAATGAACTTTGGTTGCAGTTGCTATGAGGTTTTGTTGTTGCTCTTGGCAGCTGTGCTATATTTGCAGAATGCGGGGGAGGGGGGGGGGGGGCAACGTACTGTACTGCAGTCAACCACCAGGGCAATCGAGATGTTATGGCTTCACTTTTGGGGAGTTGTGATGTCATCCATTTTTGTTCAGGACCTCATGACATCACCGTTGAGCTACAACAGCTAAACAGGCTTGAAACTTTAACTAGAGAACTACAACTATTTTTTTGCACAGTTGCTCTTCCCCAACTGGCAGTTACCTATCATTGTCAGTGCAGTAAATGAATGATACTTTTATTTATGAAACCCTGGACATGCAAATTAACTTTGACTTCGCAACTCAGGGAACAACAGAGAAACCTTGCCTGGAACATGGGGTCAGATTTGTAGACCTGTTAATTTATTTTTTATAAAGATAGTTCTTTAGTCCTGATTTACATTTTTAAAACTTTATTAAAAATATTTTGAGACAATTTATGAAGGCAGAACTTGTATAACGTGAGAAGAAGTATTGTATCGACTCCAGTATTGATTATACCCTTGTTAAGACACTAATCTTACTGCTATTTTTTCAGTTTACCACTATTAATTAGCAACGCAATCCAGTGAGACCTATATTGAGGAACAAAATATACGTCACACCATTCCTGTTTCAGCCAGCAAACTGTCTGCTTACTTTAGGGCTGTCTCGAATCTATCTTCCTTTGGCTTGTGTCCTTTTCAGCTGTGGGAGGGCATCATAAGAGGCTTGGCTGCTCTGTTGTCACTGCTGCAGTTTGCAGTTAGCAGCGAGCAGCCTGTCCCACAGCCCTGGTAATTGAAGCTAAGAGGTTTATCTGGAGTCAGGCTCCCAGGTCGTGGTCAGATAGAGGGGCCTATAGCTGACCAGGACTGGAGAAACTCTCCAGAGACAGTCAGCGGCTGGTCGCTGTCTTTCATCCTCCACCTCCACCACCCCCCCCACCTCCCCCAGACCCTGCACTCCTCCACCTCTTCATTTGACTGAGGAGGGTCTCTCAGTATCTTCAAAACCTCTCGTCTGGGGGAGGAGGAGAAGAGGTCATCGTCGCTTTCTATTCTGTCTCTCCTTTCCTACGTCTCCCACTCCTGCAAATACACGTGAGAACGTCACACAAACCCAGCCAAACACCAGCCCACACAGTACAGGGGTCTCTCTCAGGACGCCAGGCTAATTTTACCCCCACCACCAGACCGGGGGGGGGGGGGGGGGGGGGGGGGGCATTTAGAGGTGTTATTTTGAGCAACCGTGTCGAAGCGTAGGATGAGACTGTAAGCAACCTGAGGGCAGCTTATCAGAGGTGGAGTCATTTGTGTATTTGTGTGCATGTGACCGCCACTCTTGCTATTGAAGACATGCACAGACATTAATGGCTCTGTAGAGTGATACTCTACTATGGCTTACAAGGAGTACAACCAACACACACTCATAGACTTACACACATATACAGTACATTTCCACCGATTAACAGTATTTATTTAAAGCAGCTATTTGTAAGTTTTGCATGTTAGCTACATGTTAGCATTAAAAGCTTTTACTTACCAGTCTTGCCAACAGCTTCGGCCATTGTCGCGTTTACAATAAAAGAGGTTAGAATACGCCCTCTGAGCATAAGTATTTCTTCAGGTCAGACTGGAGGCTACAGTGAATTGATCCGGAGCTAGCTGGTTAGCGTGCTAACTTAAGTCGCAGTAAAGGTCAGCGAGTAAAGGAAGCAAGTTTGCTGCTGACTTATGAGTAGCTCCTTTAAATTTAATTTCAGGAAATTAATTTGTTCTCTTTCCCCTCTATCGTTCTGTTTAATTCAATTAAATTCCATCCAGTATTCTCTAGGTGCGTAAGTATGAGGTGAACAATGTTCACCTCATAAACATCAAACATCAAGGTTAATACAATTCAAAAATGAGATGAGAAAAAAAGAGAAGAATTAATAAAAGAAAAGAACAAGAAAATGGCAAAAGAAAACAGTAAACAGATGTTTTGTGTGTGTGTATAATAGGCTATGTCTAAATAATGATGCCACATTCGGTGATGCTGCGTCCCTCAGTTTGTGACATGCAGTCACATACAGTGTTGTGCAGCTAAGTTTGCTGCACGTCCCTCTCCTGATAGAATCTGTTGCTTTTCACTGTCACCTAGCTGTGTGAAGTCTGGGATTAACAAAGTATTCCACTCTGGTATTATTATATTTGTCACATTTTAGGATGAAGTGCATCTTTGTCTCTACCTCAGCTGTTGTGCTGTGACCACAGACTCTTTTCTCTGTTGATAGCTAGGAGTTCTTGTGTGTCGGCCTTTCTCTGTGGTTAGACTCAAGTCTGTATCTGTTCTGGATCTGTCTCTGCTTTGTGTCTCTGACAGCAAAGAAATACTTTGCCAGTTTATATTCATGGTTGACAGCCAGATAGCAATTAAGTTTGATTTGAGTTTTGATTTAATTCATCCAATGTTCCAGATAGGCATCTTTTGTTAATTTAATAATCTGGTTTAGTCTGATTAGTAGTTGGAAAGCAGAGCGGGTCTGAGGTGGAACAGTATCGGGTGTTGATCAGTAGGTCTCAGGACCAGCTCACAGAAGGAACTATTTTAGAGGTTCAATTCTTTGATTTGTAGTGCCTGAAATCTCTGTGTTTTTTTGGGGGGGATCAATTTGAGATGTATGTATGTTTTTTAATGTTAATAATCAGTGGCTAACAGCCTGGTTCTGCTCTGAATGCACTGGTCGGTGTGAGATCTGGACTTCTTTCAGGAGACAGTTCTTAAAATGTTTACTTGCCCTTTACTGTGGCCTTGTGTTCCGTAAGGAAGGCCACCATCTGGGTATTGATAATGCTGCAAAAACCCTTCTCCAGATTACTGCTCACATAGATTAGGTCTAATTTATCACCACTCTTATGTACTGGGGAAATGAAGAATGAGATTGAACTGAAGCCGGCCCTGTCTCAGCTCAGGGCTGCTGTGTTTCATCATCTCTGTCCTGATGCTGTTAGGTCCACATTTTTTTGCTGTTTTCTAATTCTGTATTTTCATTGTAATAAGATCATCACTGGAGTTCTTGTTATTTTTGATTTTTGATACAAGGATACATTTTGTTGGATGAAATTTGCTCATATCGTTTTTCAAAATGATTTCTCCAAACATTACCATTTTGTAGGGCCAGGTTTACTTGTTTATCTCTCCCAGAACTGATTTTGATTAATGCACTCCTCATTTTCCCTTAGATCCTGATGTTGTTTTGTCGTATTATCGGTTTGTGTTTTCTCAGTGTTTCAACATAGTTTTGTCTGCACAGAGAGAAATGAAGTGAGGAGTGGCTGTCCAAAGATGTAGCTGTTTCCAACAGGATCCACTGAGTCAGGATCACATCCTGTTCTGGCATTAAAATCTCCTATAAACAGGACGTCACCCTGGGCCTGATAAAGTCCGTTTTTCTGTTGTTGTTCTTCAAACTGTTGTTAATTATTCTCAGATGAGATGATGAGTCGTCTTTATACCACACAATAACCCAACCTCAATCTCTACCATGGCGTATGGGTCTCTAGTTCTGCTCTAGGTTTCAACCTGTTAAACTGAAGTTTTTCATTTCCAACTGTTGCCGAGTGCTTGCTCATGGGGGAACGCTGGGTCTCTGTAAATAATATTATAGAGAGTACGGCCCTGACATGATCTATATGCAAAGTGCCCTGAGATCACTTTTGCTATTTTTGGCGCTATATAAATAACACTGAGTTGACTTGACTTAACTGACGCCACACAGCATTTTCCACCTGTATAAACCAAGATGTTTCAGCTCTGTGCAGACATGGAAGCAACCGACTACTTTCTTTAATTCCTTTATCTTGAAACACTCTTCCTGACACCCGTTTGCCGCAGCGTTGAGTAATTAGAACTACCTAACTTGTGCATCTGAAGATAAATTGCTCTCTCGTTTATATCATTATCTTGCTGTCAGACCAGCTGCACATTCAGCCCCTCTTAGAACTGTGTGCTCACAATTGGGATTCAGTTGAGTGTAAACGTCATCGTCACAGGCTTCAGGCAAATTGCTAATCAAAGCAAAACAGAGTAAGACCACTATTAACTGCTGTTCTCGCTCCGTCTCAACCTCACCTCCTCTTCTCTCCCTCCCTTTCCAGGCAGTGAGATTGTTCCTCCCGACTGCCTGCGCCCACGCTCCTTCACCACGGTGCGCTCCTCCTCCCTGCGGCGCGAAGCAGACGACTCCCGCCTGTCCGTCAGCCTGTGCGACCTCAACCTGCAGCAGGAGGATGGAGGCAACGCTCACAATCACTCCCACCGCCACACCCTCCACCTGGCCACAGCCTCCTCCTCCTCCACCTGCCCCATCCCCCAGAACTCCCTCAACTCCCAGCAGTCCTCTCTCCTGCCGTCCGCCCTCGAGAGTGACCTCCACTTCCACCAGCTGCGAGGCGCCCACATTAAGACGCTGGATGAGCAGACGGTGGCACGATCTGAGCACGCACGCGAAGAGCGCACATTGGTCTTCACCAACCGGCCCCTGCGCATCGGAGAGACCGTCTTCATCAAAGTCACAAAATCCAGCCCGGCACGCTCAGGCTCCTTGTCCTACGGCGTGACGTCCTGCGACCCAGCAGTGCTGCGCCCCAGCGACTTGCCCTATAATCCAGAGGCTCTGGTGGACAGGAAGGAGTTTTGGGCGGTGTGTCGGGTGCCCACGCCGCTCCAGAGCAGTGACATCCTGGGCTTTTTGGTCAACCAGGAAGGGGAGGTCATCCTCAGCCACAACGGCACCAACGTGGGCATGCAGGTGTGTGTGGACAACTCCCGCCCACTCTGGATGTTCTTTGGTCTTCATGGGGCTGTGACTCAGCTGAGGATTCTGGGTAAGTAAGCATGTGAAAACCATTTGAAAGACGACCTAAAGGGTAACTCAAACAACTTAATACCATACAGTTCAGAACACATGAGAGTCTAATTTGAAAAGAATGGTCGATCTTGACCATTGATTTTTAATAAAAGTCCAAAATGCTGGATCCTGTACTAACCATAATGCAACTCACTGACCGCAGTTTGCCAGGCTTTCTGTTAGAGCCAAAATGACCAATATCAGCCATCTTGGCATATCTCGATAGTTATAACAATAAATTTATGGTCAATATTTATCATAAATATTTAAACTTCAAACTCAAATAACCAGTATATGTTAGGGTTTACGATTTGGAGCATCCAAACCCGCCCCTGAGATACTCTGACAACATCATCAGGGGACATTTTCTCAGACTTCAGAGGAGAGTCACAGAAAAACATTTTACAACAGTTTTCAGAGGCTAAGTGGCGGTCGTTCTGACAAGTAAATTGACCTTCATGTGTAAAATTGGCTGAGTGGCCCTTTAAACTTTGAGGAAACTAATTTGCATCAGGTCTGTTCGGAACAACAATCAGAACAGGCAGCCCGCTCATTTATTTCACAGCAGTGAAAGTGCTTCCGTAAAAAAAAAAAACAAGGTCATCCAGCAAAACCAAAACGCTGAAGACGACTCAGGTTGTGACTCAGGTAGTGGAGCAGGTTGGCTGCTGGTTCCTGGGTTGTGTGAGGAAGGGCATCCAGTGTAAAACCGATGTCAAATCGCATATACGGATGGTGATCCACTCTGCTGGAGGACAGGAACAACACTGCTGCCACACAGCACTTAGATATGTAACCTAAACATTAAAGATTAACATTAAAGATTTCTAAGCCGTATATACACATTCAATACATTACAAACATACACAAGTTTATATACGTTATAATGTAGTTGTGAGCAGATTTTTATCTTTATTAATGTTTATGTCAACAGCTCCTCCTACGGGCACCCATTCTGTGGAGGCTGCTGTAGTCAGATACTATGCAGCTGTAAGACTAAATACCATGAAATATGAGATATGAGTGGAGACAAATACTGCACTTTAATAAAAACCTAAAATGTCAGTATATCTACTTCAAACTCTAATATAATGTGTTACATAAATAAGTATTTATTAGATGTTTATATATAGTTTATAAATGCAATGGAAGATTATCAGGTGGAACAGTCTCAAAAAAGCATAACAACTAATGTCTGACACAGATTAACACTGTTGTTTATAATATATAACACATCCAAAGGAATATGACGGACATGATTATTTTCTTCTATGTTCGATAGTAGTAAAAACCTGACCTCACACTTCACGGACATGATTTTATCTACCTCCTGTAAGTGGAGTAATGACTGCCATTTCCTTCCTTGACCACATGCTTTCCTATTTGAAGGAGTAATTTATTGTTGGATACAACCATTCTTTCAGCTCGGTGATGAGCCCAGGGTCAGGAACTTACACAGCAGGGTAATGATCTTCATTTGGCTGCGTACAACACTGGTGAGAGCTCTGACCTCTGTGCTTAATTCACCTACTCCCTGGGGTTGAAATCTATTCGTGCTCAGTGTTCAATGCTCTGACAGTATGCCAATTTTAGGCAAACCACATCTTCCCCTTTTTTTTTGGAAATGACAGCCACAGTCATGACCAGAGCGAAAGGGGTCAAGAGGAAGAAAGTGAAAGAGCACTTTGTTATTTTGTTTGGAACAGATACCCAGAGGCAGGAGGCATGTACACACATTCATAAGATTAGCAAGAAAAGTAGATGCTCTGTCACGACACGCTAAGATGAAAAACAGGAAGCGAGCAGGCAGAGGTGGAGACAGGCTGAGAGGCTGTGACCTGCACACAGCAGGGACGACATGACGTCCCCGCGGGGTGGACGCTTTGCCGAACGGTGGTGCGCCAGGACACCTGAGGTTTGTTTACCCTTTTTCTAAATGCTGATAATGATAGGGGAGCAGGAAAGATGATGTGTGGCAGTTCTGGCACTGCACTTCATTTTAGCCCTGCCAAACATATTGCCTTCCGACAATGTGCAGGCAGCTGTGGAGGGGCTGCACTTAAGAGTATGAATAGTGGAAGACAGCTCTGCAAGTGGCTGTCTTCATGAATGCCATTCTGACTGGCATTTGCTCCCACGTGTGTCAAAGAAAGTTGGCGAAATCCCATTTAAAAGAAAGGGGGCCACACAAATGTACACGTACAGACAAGATGTTATTAAAATCGTCATTTTTGAAAACAAGCTATTGTTCTACATTCACTCAGGTACAGCAAAGGCTTGGCAGTAAAAAGGCACCATCTTTGTCACCTGCATAATGCAGCAGTAAAAGTTTTCTTATGTTAACACAGCAGTTAAGCGGCATAACAGGCAAAACAGCACCAGCCTTTCCAAGGTGTCACAAGTGTTTGTCCGTGGAGGAAGGAGCATCTATAAATACATCCTGCTTTTCTTCGGTGACAGCAGCGGAAAAAGGAAGCACAGGTTAAAAGAGGTTAAAGGGGAAACAACCTCAGCTGTGACCAGACACGCAAGAGAGAGAGAGAGAGATTTAATGTGACGCTTCTACCTGTCGCTTATCAAAAGACATGAAATCTAAAGTTAGCCGTAAACTCCGCTCTTACCATTCATATATCCCTCAAGTGACCTCTCCGCCTGTCAGACTCTGGGCTCACCACGCGTGGAATAATGTTGTCCTCTGATAGCTTGACCCACTTAACATCAACCGACAACAAAGTAACCATGACAGCCATGTCGATACAAATCACAGTGAGCTTCAATAAAGCTCTGACGTGTTGATAGAGGGCGTCGGTGATCAGGTCAGGAAAAGCTAAAAAAGGCAGAAATTCAGCTCTCGTGGACTTTTTACCTCTTTGACTTCAGATTGGCAGTAGTTGTTATTCATGTTTCCCAAAGTGCAAAAGCACAAAGTCTTGATGGTACAGTAAGCAGATCCTATGTTATCACTTACTTTACCATTAAATTACATTTTGGCTTGGCAGCTGTGCAGAACAGACCGCCCGGGGTCTCTAGGTATATTTCTAACGATCATTTACCGAAACCAGAGAACCTTGGCAGCACAACAAAACAGGAATAGCAGAACAATGAAACAGGTCTGAGGCACATCTCCTTATCAGAGCAGATCTCGGAATTCCCACTGAGGTGTGAATCATCTTTACATTCCAGCTGCTTCGAATTAGGAAGCACCTCTTATCTCGCTGTTGCAACTCTTGATCTATTGCTTTGTACTGGCTGGAGAGCAATTTAGCTTTCAATTAAGTTGAACTTGAGCCGTGCCTTCAACTTGGAGTGAGGGATGTTAAACTTGAAAGCCTGGCTCTCCCACTGGGCTCATGCTCGACAGGATGGCAAGATAAAGCAGTCATCACAGAGGCCTCTCACTACAAACAAAGCATGAAGTAATGGGTCTTTCTAATGGGAACAGGCATGCTCAAACAAACACGTCAGGGTAGCTCAGGTCAGCCCAGGAGTGCTTGTGCGTAGATGTAAAACTACATTGAGATGGTTTTATTAGAAATATATCTTCTAATGGATCGACACTTCAAATAAAACACAAGGGGAATGTACAAATATGGGACCTTTAATGTATTTAAAGTTAGCATGCTATGTTAGCATTAATCTCAATATACAGGTGAAGCAGACAGGAAACTGCTGATTAGTTTATTACCTTGAACTGAAGGAGAAGTGTATGGTTATAATTTGGACCACTTAATCCTCCATTGATTTTAGATCACTAGTTTGTGGTCGTGACCTAAAGTAAAAGTGGTCAATTATCATTTTGACCTTTCAGTGACACTGACAGGAGATTTTTAGGATTTGGATCCATGCCGCACTCACATTATTTCACTTCGAACCAAAGTGTTGGAGTGACAGACTGACTGACTGAATCACCAGCTGTGATCACTAGATGACCAGTCGTGTGGCCAAAATGCTCCCTATACTGAATGTGGGTGGTTTATCCGGACATTCACAGACACTGACAGAATCTCTGCTCTCTGAGATATTTCATGCCAAGACATGTCACCTACACTTTAACCCACTGTGATACATCCACTCACAGACTGCATGACACCACAGTATTTTTGTCTATTGTCCTAATATCTCTTATTAGTGTGATAATATGAAAAAGCAACAACAGAAAAGAGACCAGCTGACACTTGAACTTTGAAAGAGAGATATCGAGGGGACCTTGTGCTTCATGGCGTGGAAGTAGGACACCCATCCAGTGACCCACTTTGCATGTATTATGGATTCCATTAAAATGTCAGCGCGCTCATGCTCAAGTGAAGCGTCTCACCGCCCACATCCTCAGACACTGCAGCTGCCACGCTCCTCTCTCCTCCTCTTCTCATCTTCTCTCATCTCAGCTCTTCTCTTCTCTTTGTTTCTGCTCCCCCAATTATCACACATGTATTCCTGCTGCAGTGTCTGACACACAACCATACACGCTGACATCATTCATACAAGCCCACATGCACGCACACACACACACACACAGACACACACACACACACACACACACACACACACACACACACACACACACACACACACAGACAGGTGCACTAGTCATCTGCAATAAGTATTAAGGGTAGCATACAATGACATGATCGTATCTCTGTGCTATATAGTAATAATTGCCTATTCTCTCTCATGTGCATGCTCCACTTAACTTTCCCTGAGTCTGTCTGTTCAGACCTGTGAGTGTGTGTGTGTGTGTGTGTGGGGGGGGGGGTTCAAAGAAAATAGAAAACAAAAAAATAATTGAATGCTGTATCCTGTGTTAGTATATGTAGGAAATAACATATTAGGGAGTAAGTGATGGTGCATCTAAAGCTGCAGGTATAAGCTACTGCTTCTATGTAGCCTGAGAGGTTTTAGTGACTAAATAAAACTAAAACATGAGGGAGACAAAAATAGGATTTTGAGAAGTGTCCCGGAGGAAGAAAGGAACTTTCT